TGAAAAGTAGTGCATAAAAGAGAAATTTGCTGATGCCATTGTATTGTTTCTTCTGTTTGTCCAAAGTTCTCTGATATAGTTAATATCAGCTTTTTCCTATCTTAAATTTCACTTGTCTCCTAAAGTTGCCATATTAGAAACATCTATATGTGTTTTTCATCCCAATAGACCATTCATTTATCAGTGATTTAACTTTTTTTCTGCGGTACAATTTCCCTTTAAAGATGCAATACTAAAAGAGTACAAGTGGGGGCTAGAGCAATGGCTCTTCCAGAGAACTGGGTTTGATACCCAGTACCCACGTAGTGGGTCACTCCATCAGCAATTTCAGTTCTAGGGGGAATCTGATGCCCTCTTCTGACGTCTATGGGCACCAAGCACGGACATGATTCAGAGACATACCTGCAGGCAAAATACTCACACATGAAATGAGTAAATTTAATAAAAATATTTTTAAAGTAGAAATGCAGGTCACATATAATAATTACATTCTGTCCCCTCTTCTGCCTTTTTAGGAATGTACCATGACAAAAAAAAAAAAAAAAAAGCCAGGACTGTCTGGCTCTACCTTTTATCAGTACTGTTGCTTTTCCCTGATGACAGGTTTAAACTCTATCCTCTCATGGAAAGATAAAGGTCTTAGATCTGATTTCCCACCCCAGGCTTTTAGCACTACTTCCAACCTCTTCTGCCAGCAATCTCTGCCTCAGGATTCCTGCAGTCTTCCTCCCTCCCCTAAGCCTCCACCTCCCCTCCCCTTAATAACTATCACTTTCAGAGGATGCCTTGGCCGGCACATCCAGTCTTTTCTTGTTCTCTACAAAAAGGGATCAGCTGTAGGTTTCCAGACATAAAAGGCCTCAGCCAAACACAAAACACAGGCATTGATAGAGAAATAAAAGATCCAGGAAATCAACTCTGGAAGAGGAAGGAGCACAAAGTGTCTTTTATAATAAAGCAGGGCATTTAGGAGGAGGAAGGGCTTGGCAGGGGACGAAGATCCATCCTCAACATTTAGATAAAGCACTGGTATAACATGCACGATTACATTCAAGCCATACAGAAACAAGGTGAACCCAGTAAATCAATAAATGATAAAAACAAGATTTTTTTTTAAAACTAATAGCAAAGACTAATAGAAGCCTTGAATGGGCTGTGATCGGGGAGTGCCAGGTCCAACCGCATCCTGCCTTGCTTCATTGACTTACAAAGCATTGGAAACAAACTCAGCCTGGGATGGGTCTATAGATGTGTGCCCATGGCTTCTTTCTAATCTGAACTATTTGGGAAGGGTGACTGGGGAAAACTCTTCAGTACTTTCTCAGAAATAGGCATTTTAGTATTAATAATATTACTATTATAGGTGGTCTCTAAACCCCTTACAATCCTGTTTTGGAGATAGAAACAACAAGAAAAAGTGCCTGGAACCCCCTTGAACACTTACATTCTCTCACGATACCAACTGTGCCACATAAAGGATTACTATTCATGCCTGGATAGGTTACATTTATGCTAAATTAATAAATACATATTTGAGGGAAAGTCTCCAATTTTTAAAATCCTATTTTGTCAGGAATGTAATGTCCCTTTCACTTTAACATTCCTGAAGATAGCAGACTAATTTCTAAAGTACTTGACAGTGTAAATGGCTGAGAACTCTAGCACCGTGACTAGAGCCAGAGGGGTGAGGGACCTGTGGCTAGCAGCTGTTTATGGAAAACACACAGACACAGAAAATAAATGTGGCCAATTAAGCAATTTGCTCAGTGAATAAAAATTATACACTCTCCAGTGTCTACTGTACACATCAATGTCACGAAATAGCAGTTACACTATTTTAAGCTCATGGAACATCCTGGCTCCAGATGTCTTCCCACCTGCGTGTGACTAAATTCTTTGGTCACTTTCTTGCCAATATTCTTTACAAATATTTTGTCACCTCTGATAAGGACAAGGCCAACAAGACAATTGGAGCACACAATTTTCAGAGGTCACATTATTAATCTTGGTTGGGTGAACGGCTTCTTAGGATCCATGTACAGCTAGTTGGCAGTTACTATCTAGTCCTGTGTGCCCAAGCACCGTTCTAACATGTCAGATAATTCTCAAAACAAGTAGCTTAGAAGTGACTGTAGGAGCAAGGGAGTTCACCTAGCCTTTACTCAGTGATGACCAGCTTTTATCTACAGTGTCCACATGCAGTTATGAAAACATCTAAAGTCATGATAAACTGAAATAAATGTCCTACAGCTAGTCCTCCATCTATATAGACGTCCTATCTATAGAACACAAATGCTTTTTCCTGTTTGACTGACAGATGCCCAAGTGGTTCAAATATTGTCTGTGAATAAAGTTCAGAAGAACCTTTCTTTTGTTGGACAGAGCTAGCTCATTCTCTCTAATGCCAAGAAAAGGTGGGTTAAAATAGGCCACAGAAACGTAAATGGCCAACAGACAGACATTACTACCATACTAAAGAAGACCTTGTTGAATTTTTTCTTTTAAAAACCTTTCATTACCACCATTCATTTTCCCAAGGATAAATAAGGGAACAAACAACGGCAAAGGCCAAGAGCTGGACAGTATTGTTAAGCTCCATTATTTGAAGAAAGGATGAGGCCAACATACTGGGGATGAACTCTCCAAACGTGTGAAAATGATTATAACACACAGAAGCTCAGGAAACCATTCAAGTAAAGTTACAGGGGACTTTGCGACATGGAAACTTAACAGGACACCGGGAAGACTGCTTTTGTGTTTTCACTCTAGACTGTAAGATGAACACCCACAGGGCTGCATACTGTAAAGAGATGATCAGAAAATACTAAAATGAAAATTAAAGAGTTGTTTTTCTATACTAATTACAACAAGTAATTTATAAGCCATAATTGGCCAAATAATAATTGCCTTAGGAAAGAAAACTGAAGAGGCCTACGTCCACATGACCTCCAGGCTTTTGTCTGTCTTCACCACTGCCCAACTGATTAACAACATAACATACGATGAGCTGTTTTCTCTCCTCCAAACGGCACTACCCACACCTAACTGATACAGCACTAAAGTGACTCTTAGGATAAAGTCCAAACTCAGTGTGCCAGTCAGCCGCTCACACGCCTTACACCTCTGGGGTGGTCAAATCCAAACCCATTCTGGATGTCTGAGCCTCAGAGGTGTAGCCTACTTCTTCACCTGGTGTGCAGCTTCCGGTCTGTGTGTCCTTGGGCTTCACGCTGGCCCCAAATGGGAGGAAGCCCTTTCCCTAAGGCCCTCGCTTCCTCCACCTGACTAAAGTCAACCTCTGGACTCAGATGAGACTGTCCAGTCAGTGTTCCCTCCTGATTAGAGAGATGCTTGTATTGTGGCACCACTTTCTAGCTGAGTGACCTTGGTCAAGTTCATTAGCTACTTCCTCACATGCCAAAAGTCCGGGGCAACTTGCTGTCAGTGAAATGACGACTGTCACAATTGCTTTGTGAACAACAAGGCACTGAAGCGTGCAAGCATAATCCAGGCTAAGATAAGGGTGAGGTGGGGCTTCTAGTTTCCAGTTCCCCTTCGGAGGACGCTCTGCATTCTCATCCTTTCTGAGTCCACTAAGCTCTGAGCTTCTATCTGCAGGGAAGAGCCACGGTCAATGTCTGGATCACTAAAAAGAGAGATGGGAAGCCTCTGAAAGATAGGTTTTCCTAATAATGTGCACAGGAACACTACGCTCACTAAATATGCAAATGAATGAACGAAAGCAAGGGCTCCTTATCCTCAGTGAGCTTATAATCAAGGGGTGACATAACAGGGTCTAGTACCCAATACCTTTATCGTCATCAAGACTAGCAAGAAATTCTGCTATGCTACTCTTACCTGATTTGGCATGTGCTGAATTTGCCATCTTAGTAACTTGCACTTAATGTATGCATGCTTTGGCATTATCAAAATCACTGGTGCCATTCAATACCAATAACAAGTCACTGAGTACCTATCACGCTAGGTTTTACGAATACAAAGATAAAGGTGGTGGACTCTGCCCAGAAGTCACTAAATACATTGAAAGGAAGCTAAGCCATCAATACACATTATTAATATGTCAGAATAAAGTAAAATATATGGAGGGCCTAAAGATCAGGAAGGACATTTGAATTAGGGCACTAATTCAATCACTAATAAATCACATACAGTTAATACTGTATGTTACACATTATTGATGGACAAAAACCTCTATTATTATATATCATATGTGATCATATTATTAATAATACATTACATGAATATACACTGCATGCTAAGACAGATATTTCTGGATTGCCTTTCTCCTTACTCTGATTTTAAACCTACTCATTTTGTCTAAACACTGTTCAGACCTTTACAACAGTCCCATTTAACGGATGAGAAAACAACCCAGGTTAAGAAGCAGAGGTAAAAATATATAAACAGGACCTAACAGATACACAAGCATTCCACACGGAAGGCATGGGCCCACATCCCAAAGCCATTTCCTGACGTTCTTTCCTCTTCTGCCAACAAACCCTGGGGAATAACACACCCTTGCTCTCCTTTCCCGCCAGGGCTTTTTTCTTCCCGGGTCTCTGAACTGTTGATTCTCAAGCAGACACTCTCAACCTTCCCACTCACTCCAGGACATGCTGTTTAAATCACGAGCGCTTCAGGAGAAATGAGACCGAATCAGATACCCAAGTGGACACTGGTAGGGTCAAGAAACTAAAGCTACCGGATTGGGGATCCGCTCCTGGATCCCCTCCAGAGGATGGCAGCAGCACTCGGCTCACCCAGGAGGCGCCATCCCCGGCGGGATCCTCTCCTCCTGACCCCCCACCCCCTTGGCAGCTTGGGCGCTGCCATCTGCTCTTTTACCCTTCACCTGCCGACGCACCCCGCACAATCTGCATCTTCACCCGACCAGAGGGAGGCAGACATCGCGGGGCAACCGAGTCCCTAACCCGGTCCAGCGCGCGCAGTAGCCGGCCCGCCCCTAGCCAGCCACTTACGGTTCCAGTACACCGGGTAGCACTCTCCTTGAGTGACGTCCACCTCGTAGAGGCCTCCGCGCACGCACACCGGCTCGATGGTCACCAGCTCCTCCGTCTCGGGCTCGGGCCCCGAGGCGCGCGGGCAGAAGCCGCAGGCGCGGTCCTCGTCGTCTTCCTCCCCGGAGCCGGAGGCCGGGCCGCACACCGGGTCTCCATCGCGGCCCTCCGCCCGAGTACGGGCGCCCGTGGTCTGCAGCAGGGTCCGGAAGGCGAGCTCGATGCGCAGAGAGTCGTAGCCGATGAAGGGCTTCCAGGTCTTCTTGTCCTCCTTGTAGAACCAGCGAACCTCCTCCGGGCCCAGCTCCGTCACTACCTCGTAGCGGTGCCGGGCTGCGGCGTTGCCGGGCCGGGCGCGCTTTCTGTCCCCGGGGCCCCCTCCCGCCGCCCCGCCGTCCCCCGAGTTCGGGGCGACCAGCGGCGGCGGAGGCGAGGACGAGCTGCCGCCGCCCGCGCTCTCGCCCTCGCTGTAGTAGCGCAGCGACGAGCCCGACTCGGCCGAGCTTAAGTCGTAGTTCTCGTCGCTGAGGCACGAGTCCAGGGCAAGGTGGCTCAGGTCGTCGGTGCCCGGCGCCAGGTGCAGCGGCTCGGCGTGCAGCAGCGCCAGCGGCACCCCGTCTCCCGGCTGGTGCTCGAAGCAGCAGCCGCCGCCGCCGAACGAGCCCGCCGCGTCCGAGCCCAGCTCCCAGGCGCCGGCGCCGCGGCCGTTACGCTCGGGGCTCCGCGGGGCGCCGCGGCCCGGGTAGTTCATGCCGCCGGCGCTTCCGCCACACGCGCATCCGACGCCGCCGCCCTCTCCGCCCGGACTTAATCTTTCAAATCCCCGAGCTGGGCAGCAGCTGCGGCCAAGGCGACTCCGCCTCCCCGCAGGGCCCCCGGCCGCCGCAGCGCCGTTCCGAGGCCCGCCCCATTGTTACGCACCCCTGCGTGGGCGGGGCCCGAGCGAGGCCCCGCCCCCTGCCGCGCGCACCTCCCCGGAAGGCCCGAAGCCACTGGGTTAGCGCGCTCGGCGGTGTCTCCGCCTGAAGTGGGGGTCGCACGGGGCCACCGCCGTCTCGGCCTCTGTGCCGCTCCTCGCTCCCGGCGCCGTGGCTTTCCCCCTCGCTCCCACGCCCCCGGATGCCAGCTGGAATGAGGCTTCCTCCCACTCATCTTTACACATTCGGGTCGTTGAGCCCAGAGGCTGATTCAGCTGTATCCCCGGAGGGGCCCTGGAAGTTGCTCGCTCACGTTCCGGGCTTTAGGCTCGCTTTCAGCCTCTGCAGGACCTGCTCGGTCACCTACCTGGCCCTTCCCCAACCTGCAGCCTGTGCGTAGGAAGGCGCCCCACCCTATCCCTGCTGCTCACCTGGACAGCACTACTCCCACTTAGGAAAGGGAGTCCCAGCCTCCGGAGCAACGCCAGCTCTTGCTTAGGATTGCTTAGCCCCTTGTACTTACATTTCCTGTTCTTTCCATATTGCAGGAGGCCTTGGATGGAAACCAAGTCTCTATGTCTTTTCCCACAGTCAGTGTACATTCGATGGTCCGGGTTGTAGCAATGGCAGCCAGGTGTGTGTGTGTGTGTGTGTGTGTGTGTGTGTGTGTATGTTAGGTTAGTATGTCTGTGTGTATGTGTGTGTGTATGATAGGTTAGTGTGTGTGTGTATGATAGGTTTGTATGTATGATAGGTTAGTATGTATGTGCGTGTGTATGATAGGTTAGTATGTATGTGTGTGATAGGTTAGTATGTTTGTATGTGCGTGTGTATGATAGGTTAGTATGTTTTTGTGTGTGTATGATAGGTTAGTATGTTTGTGTGTATGTGTGTGATAGGTTAGTATGTTTGTATATGCGTGTGTATGACAGGTTAGTATGTTTTTGTGTGTGTGTGTATGATAGGTTAGTATGTGCGTGTGTATGATAGGTTAGTATGATTTGTGTGTGTATGATAGGTTAGTATGTTTTGTGTGTGTGTGTATGATGGGTTAATATGTTTGTGTGTGTGTTTATGATAGGTTAGTAGATTGAAAGAAAAAAAGCAACTGAAGTCGAGGCTCAGCGTTGCCACCCTCAAGTCACTTAATCTGTTTGTCTTATTTGTAGATATAATCAGGAGATCATTGGACCGGATGGTCTCTGGTGGTAATGCCCAGTAGTGGTCTATGCTCGTTAAGCCTTCCCCGGGTTGATTTTGTCTTTGTTTTTAGAGCGCCTCTGATTCTGTAACTTACATCCTGGGAGCAGGGAAATACTGAGGCTCCCTTCCGTTAGATTTCTGAGGCAGCTTAAAAAGGCAGAAAGAGACTAGAATCTGACCTCAACAGACTGAACATTTACACGGAAGAACAGACACTCTCCTGAGGGAAGGGGTATCTTGAAAGGGGTTAGGCTAGCTGGAGCCCTTTACATAGGCAGGTAGGAGGCTTGGGAATGAGGATGTTCTTGCAACCGTAGGAGGCTTGTGTGGGTCTGTGATCTGTCTTTCCTGGAATTGTCTGTTTTAGGCAAGACAGATATCTTGGAGGACAGGCTGTCCCAGCAGACATTCTCTGGGTTGTGACTGGCAGGAGGTTGGTCAGGGTCAGCTGTAATTTCGGAGGAGTCCTGTTTTATAGCGGAGGCACTCTGTCACCACACACCATTCTTTTAATTGAAAAGTATTTATTTTATAATCCCATCCTATGTTGAGAATCCCTGGGAAACAATCTCCAGCCTTGTTCTTAGTTCAAGAATAGACCTTGTGAAATCAGGTCAGTGGGGCATGTTGTCTGGCTCTTAGGATGTAACCTGTCAGAGATAATTCGAAGTCATTATTTAAATAGGGATTGTTTCTTTTGTGCACAGTGCTTCTGTAGGGAACTATAAGAAGGCTCTGCTCTCTATGGGTACATACGGAGTGATACTGTGGCTTGTGGTAAGTGAGAACGCAGGCTGGATTTTCTATCGTAATGTGTGTATTTGACTGGATAATCTTGCCCAGGGAACAGTCTGTCCATTTGTACCTTACAGCCCCATTGCAAAGCATCCATACTACTGCCTGAGTACCTGCATCCCAAGTTCTCTTCCACTGTTTCAATTGGAAGTATGCAGAATAAGAAATTGGGTATGAACTTTGAACTATTTGCTATTCGGGAAGGCATTAGCTTCACACTGCTCTGATATCTATCTGTGTACAGGCTTCTGATGCAAAAAGAGAACCAAGAACCTATAGTTTGCAGGGCAGTGGTGGTGCATGCCTTTGACCCCAACATTTGGGAGGAAGAGGCAGGTAGATCTCTGTGAATTTGAGGCCAGCCTGGTATATACAGTGAGTTCCAGGACAGTCAGGGCTACACAGAGAAACCATGTCTCAAAAAAAAAAAAAAAAAAAAAAAACTAAATCAAACCAACTAACCAAACAAACAAAGTTCAAAACGAAACAAATCTATTGCTTAGTTGGGAGACCTTGATAAATAACAGACATATTAAAGTGTATTATGACATTTAAAATACCTTCCTGTTTCTTGACAGAATGTAGCTCAAGTATTTACATGTTAATGGCCAGATTTATTTATTTATTTGCAGTTTTATTTCTTAAGGTGCAGCGGTCCGATTAATAAATCACCACGGTAATAGATATTTGAACAAATTTAATAACAAAACCAGACTCACGAAACCAAGGTTCCAGCGGAGTAGCCAGCGGAGACAGGAGAGGAAGGGAAGGAAGGAGCGCGCAGCTTTTGCCCGCCCAATATATCAGTAAACAAACGCCTGAGGGCAGCCCGCCCCCAAGGGGAGGGCTTATCCCTACATTAAGGTTGACATCATTTCTATTAATGAACATCATTGTCTTTGTTTCTTTTTGACTGTTTTTGTTTTTTGAGATGAGGTTTCTCCGTGTAGTCCTGGCCATCCTGGAACTTGCTTTATGAGGCTGGCTTCAAACTCTAATATCTGCCTGCCTCTGCTAGGATTAAAGGCCACCACATCCACTCTTGCCTGCTTTTTAAAAGGGTTCTTTCCCTTGTACTCAATGTATTGGGTGCTGATTCAGTCCTCACAGCTAGGTAGCATAATCTCTCATGAAGTAGGTGTTGATTTCTCATTGTCATCCAGGTAAAGCAGGGGGGGGGGGGAAGGTGTTTTAGACTTTCTCCTGACTTCGGAGTAATTGGTGAGGGGAGATGTCAGTCCATATTTGTGGGAATTGAGCTCACTGCTCCCCACTGGACAAGGACAGCTTCACTGGGCTAGAGGCTGACAGAGAGCAAAAGACATTTGAAGATAGCCAATTGCACGCATTTCTTTCCTTTTTATTCCCTAGCCATAGCAAGGCAAAAGCTTCGAAGCAGCTCTTCCCTACCTTCTTCTCTGCCTTATCTGAGACTTCCTGGTAGAATCTTTTTCAGGATATGTGTTCCTCGCTGGTGGGTAATGGGTCTCACATGCCTTCCATTCCTCGGCAGCAAGGAGAGGAGTGGAGCAGCTCCTCATCCCTGCACATCATTAGTAGGCAGATGGACATGGCTCTCTCTGACCTGCCAAGGCATTATGCAACACATTCTATGGCATTTTAATAATTACCCAGCCAGGCCTCTTTCATGTAAGGAAAGTAGGCATGATTGACTCAAACATCTGGCATTTGTGGGCCTGTGCTACCTGTAAGAGCCAGGTGGTTTTAGAACCAAGCCCAAGGGAACCTCCGTATGGGAGAGAAAAATTACACACACACACACACACACACACACACACACACACACACACACACACCCCAAAAGAAAACAGCACATTACCTCGGTTCATCCCACCACCTGCCTTTCCGTAATGCACCTTTCAAGGGTTATCTGACAAGAAAGATCACCTTCCTCCTCCTGCCTCTCAGGAGTTACATGGCTCCATTTCTTGTCACTCTTGCTTCTCTTTTTCACTTTAATCTGCCTTCACCTGTAGAAAATACAAGGCTAGCCTGATGCCATATACTTTATTTTGAACTAATGCCTTACACTCACACTTGAAATGCCGTCATCCAAATGTATGATGGGCGTGTTTAGTGTGAAACCCAAGCGATCTGCTGTATCTCCTGCTTAATAAGCTGTCTACATTTGAAGTTTACTGTTTAAGACTGGCAGCTTCCATGCTTAAGACGAGTGTGTATTTTAGGACACCGACTAAATTCAACCACATTCTAGACTTGAGAACAGTCACAGACACAGCAGGTGTTCCCCAAGTTCCATGCCTTCTGCTAGACTCTCGAGCAGTGGTTCTCAATCTGTGGGTTGCCATCCCTTTGAGGGTTGAATGACCCTTTCACAGGGGTCACATATCAGATAGCCTGCATATCAGATATTTACATTATGATTCATAACAGTAGCAAAATTACAGTTATGAAGTAGCAACAAAAATAATTTTATGGTTAGAGGGTTATGTCAATATGAGGAACTGTATTAAAGGGTCATAACATTAGGCATCTTCCAATAAAAGCACAATGGTAGGAACTGTAGAGATGGCTCAACCATTAAGAGCAATTGCAGCTCTTCCAGAGGGCTGGAGTTTGATTCCTAGTGCTCACATTGGGTGACTCACACCCACCTGTAACCCCAACTCCAGGGAATCCGTTACCCTCTTCTGCCTTTTCTGTGCCCATGCACACAGAGACACACATAAATAAAACAAAATAATCTTTTCTGAAAGTTTCATTTTTTGTGCATTGGTGTTTTGTCTGAATGTATGCCGGTGTGAGGGTGTCAGATCTTGGGGTTACAGACAATTGTGAGCTGCCACGTGGGTGCTGGGAATTGAATGCGGGTCTCCTGGAAGAGCAGTCAGTGCTCTTAACTGTTGAGCTGTTTCTCTAACCCAAAATAAAATAATCTTTAAAAATGCTCAAGTTAAGAAAACAAAACACAGTGACAGCTTTGTAATTCCC